ATCTTCATAAATTCATAATTTAGTTTAATTATATTTAAAACTAGACGATCTCTCCATAATGATAAAAGCAATATTTTGCAGCATTTTTGCATTTTATATTTTACGTTGAGGGATGGAAGAAATTGATTTTTTTCGATCACAAATAAACAATGTTTTCTTTTGGAGAGCACGAGTAAAATGACGTGACGTAGAATAAGCGTGAAATTTCTTCTTCTCGCGCACAGTCTGACATTTACGGTCTTCATTATTCGTCCTAGAATGAAGGAAGGTTCGTATATATTGGATTAACAAAAGAAAAGAAAGAAAAAAGAAACGTTGAACAGTGTAGCGCGCGTTCCATAAATCAGCGGGATTATTAAAAAATGCTGCGCACCATTAATTCGTACGATAAAAGTGTTAGGCGCGCGCGGCGGTAAACGCCGCGTATTGTGAGGGATTGCGACATGACGACGCGGTGCGCCTCTTGCAAAGGTTACAATATATATATGTGTGTATATATATATATATATATATATATGTATTATACATATATATAGATATATGTATATATATATGAGCTGCAATAGCATGTTGTAACCTTTTGCGCGAGAATTCTGCAGCGTATGTTATTCGTGTGATAGATAATGGCCGGCACAATTGTAATTATGTTGCATCTGCGATCAGACTCGCGTATATTGTATATAATTGTACAGAAACAATATTTGGTATATTTGGATCAAGGAATAACAAAAGTTTGGAGCAAATGATATCCATCGCAAAACGGATGACGATTTTATTCGGAAAGAAAATCTCATTTCTTAGTGTGCACGGGCCCTAAATATGCTCCAGAGACCTCATGCGAGATACCATAGGGTGGTCGCAATACGCGAAGTTACGGAGATGCGAGACGATGAAAAATATCTGCTATCTCGGGCTAGGATCCTTCGAACAATGGGATATCTTCGGGACCCCGAGTCTTCGGCTACGCGGTGGACAATTATTACCCCGATTGTCGGAAGATAATGCTTCATCGGCGATGAAATAATGATTTTCTGTCGATCGGACGGAAACACGCGAAAATTCCTTGGTAATGACCTAGTGGCAGTCTATCATTTCCCTCTCCCGCATAAATCGCTGCATTAACTTGCTGATATTGAAGAGAGCTCGTTAAATTAAATGAATTTGTTGATTTAAATTAGAATATCATAAAGTGAAATAATGTAATGAAAAATACACACACTATTCATATATAAAATCATAATTATAATAATAATAATTATTATTATTATTCATATATAAAATAATTATTATAATTATTAAAAAGAAATTATTAAGAAAATAATTATTTCAATTTTACGAAAATATTAAAATAAATGAAAAGTTTAAAAGAATAATTGTTTTATTACACATGAAGTGGAAAAAATATTTTTCGAAGAATGTAATAAATTAAAAAAAAATATTATATTATTTAAAATTTAAAAGTATGAAAATTATTAATTTAGAATTTTGTAGTCTTTTAATTTAAAGCTAATATAATAATCAAAAAGTATTAATATATTATATTATTTTTCATTTTTCTGAAAAAAGATATTATAATTGAGACTAACATTATTTTGTCAGTTCGCAAGTTAAAGAAAAAATAAATAGATATCTTAAGATGTTCATCTTTCAAGAATCAACCGATTAAATATTTTAATTATTACAAGTCGATGATAATCTATAATTAAATCGACTGTCATGTTATAATTATGCCATAGAAACTCTTTCTGAAATTAATTTCTCGGCGGAAATGCAAATTAGCTCTCACAGGGTAGCGAAAGAGGGATATAGAAGTGTCATTGCACTTTTGCAGTTTTTTTTCCTTTACGACGTAAATTCTGCTCCCTTTTTTTCAATCGCGTTTTCTCACTCTCTCTCTCTTTCTCTTCTTCTTTCTTTTTCTTTCTCTCTTCCAACTAAGCGACGTTAGTCCAACGGACGTCATGTCTAGCGAGATCTGCGCATTATTGTTTTTGCCGCCCTTCGTGTTTCCCACACGAGAGGACCTTTCCCTCTGCCATGTTCGGGGATGTACAAAACATAATCGAGACTCTTTTCGGTGAACGCGCTTTCTCCTCTCGAGTTCCTTCACAGTGATGACGCAAACGCCTTTCATACTGTCGCCATTCGAATAGTATGATTAACATGCGTTTTCATTACGTACAAAAATAATATTAAATATATCACACAATTAAATTATAAAATTTACAAATATGTAACGATGTTATATATATATGTATATATGTATGCATGCATGTATGTATGAATGCATGTATGTATGTATGCATGCATGTATGTATGTATGTATATATAAATCGTTTTTATACACATGTCTATGGAAACACAACTGGAAATAAAGTTAACTAATTCTTAACCGGACATGTATTTTTTTCGTAATGAGGAAAGATCAATCGATAGCGAACACCTGTGGATTTGTGGTCAATATTGATCACGTAATTGTATTGCTTAAGATAAAAAAAAATTAAGTACTTTGTACGAATATGTATGAAGATATATATTTTACACACACACATTTTTTTTAATATAATAAAATGTATATTACTCATGAAGTGTAAATTGAACGAAATGAGATCACGATGCATATGCAATAATCTTGTGGGTCCTATGGGTGACGATTGCTATCGATTGCATAACGGGAATTCTGAAAGATCGTGATGCAATTTTTTCATGGACTATAACGACAAGAAAAATAGAGAAGCTCGAATTATAGATATCTTTGAAATTGCAGCTTGGAAATGGCAATTATTTTTGCAATTTTTACGCACGTGAATATTTTTTTTATCAAATAAATTCTTTGTGAAGATGTTATAAATTTCATTTCCTTGCAACAAATCATAGAAATAAAAAACGTTGTATGAGAAATAACAAGAGATAAAATATAATAATGCGAAAAATGTAAAAGTAATACTTGCATACACACACACACACATACATACACATAACGCTAATACAGCTAAATCATCATCTTTCTCAGGAAAGCATGTAACAAGACACGTTGCGAAATACATTTTCCTGGTAATAATACAAATATAACACCCGGCGTTGTAAAGCAATAATATTCCCAAGTCGACGAGATAGATTTAACTGTGTTAAAGTACATCGATCCTTGGCATACGCAATCACGGTATATCTCGGCGCTTTGCAAAGCACGAAGAGAGTCGACGCGAGAGAAGCGATGTAACGAGTGACGCGGGCGGGCCACCCTTGCAAAGCGGTTCATTTCTTCGAAGGTGGGCGCTTACGCAAACCGCGACGGATTACGCACTGCGCAGATCCGGAAAAACGCCTGTGGAATTCGTTTCACAATGACGACATGCCGACACAGCGTCGCACGACGCCATCGCCGAACCGTCTCGCGAACAGACAGACACACAAAGGGCCATTGTGACGATTTTTTATCCCGCGTCGCGGATCTAATCGCCCACGCGAAATGCCTGCGCGCTCTCGCGCGAATCGCCAAGCCAAGCCAAGCCAAGTCGAGCCGAGCCGAGCCGAGTCGCGCGGGACTACGATTTCAAGGAGCGTGTTACGCACATGCGAGTTATTTACTATCGTATCAAGGTTGGTACACGCGCCCGCGAGACGCGTGGTCTTATGACAGATATACGCTTCAGCTACCATGGTATACTTTAGTTTTCAACTAGTACACTGGCATAATAAAAGAGAGGCAATGTATTGTCTTCCCGCTTAAGAATCGTTTTTGTATTACATTCAGTTTGTTTTCGCTAACCTCCCAACGATAAAAATATTTCAGAGCATTGTACACCTCAAGCTATATACCTTCGCGGTACAGATCCTGATCTCCTATCGGAGGACATTGTTTGAAAGTAATGGAATTACGTTGGTGTACATACGGACAGGATGCAGTTAAGAGTGCGTGACGCACATAGCACTTGCTCCAATCTCTGACTTATGGGAGCGCTAACTTTGAAATGAACACGTGTGTTTAAATATTTCTATTTGTATTCTTTACGCAGCGCATAACAGCACCATGCATATCATTCGTATCATATCATTACGCCATAAAACAACGTGCATCATTAAAAATTGTAATTACAATATATGTTGTTAATTATGAGAAATACGATTTTTTCTTATCTCTGAAATGGAATAATTTACTAAATATAATTATTTCTGATTGTGTCAAGTATCTAGTATTTTGATATTTATTTGTAAAATAATTAATATATTAGCATATATGTGTGTGTTACAGGAATATGTCTACGGATTGTCAAAGGAATGCAAGGGACTTAGACAATTGTACGAAAGTCATAGTCAAATGTTAAGCTACAAATTTGCGAAAGTGTCGAACCTAGATACAACATTGATCAAGCATCGTATTGAAAGACCATTTCTATTCAGCGCGCATTTCCAACATACTTTTTCCTTTTCGTACTTTACATGCCTCGTCGCCGCCTGTACGAATGATCGAATAACAAAATATGTAACTTTTCGCCACGTTCTCCTTTACTACGCTACATTATAAGTAAAAACGACCGATCGCTCGTTGATAGTTCAAGCTAAGAAAAAAAAGGAGGGAAGACGTCGCGCGCATGCGCGTCGATCTTTAGTAGGTCACTCTTAGTACGCTCGTCCCAACTTGTCACGTCGCGAAATGCGCTTTACATTCGACTTACGAGCGCCCATCCACCACAAAATTTTCGTCATATTATATTTTCGCAATTGTGCAAATTCTCGATAAACATAAACGCAATCTTCGAATCTATCACGTGATTACATGAACCGCGACGAAAACCAAGGAAAAAGATATTATATTTCTCGTTGCAAAAATTTCACTGTCGCGTGATATACGTCGTGCTGATCCGCCGCAAGAATAACGCAAAGCGCAGAAGTCATTAAGCGCGAAATTAGCGGACCACGTGTCTGCCGCGTCGAGGAGATTCGCGAATGCGCGACGCACCGGCGAGAATCGCGCGCGCCATCGCGCATGCGCGAGTTAGTGGGTCGCCTGCGCTCGGAATTGCTTCGGCGACGCTCGGTCGCGCTCGGCCCGATTCGAACGCGCCCACCGACTCCCGCCACGCGCTCGACGCGGCGGTCAGTCGGTCGATTGTACGCGACACGCGAGGGTCGCGAAAAACCGCGAGGAGCCGCGAGAATTCGCGAGAGGCACGGCCGCGCATGCGACGAAGACACGGAGGAGCTCGCGATAGAGCGGCTGGATAAAAACTATCGGACGGAAACGCAGCGTTTATAGCGAGACGGAGAGGATCCGGTGGATTTTCTATCGTCGTCGTCGCCGTCGTCGTCGGCACAACTGCGCAGAGACAAAGTTGATCTCTCCTCTCGATTGAGAGCGCCGAGAGATCGATCCTCGCGCGCGAGGACGACAGCTGTCAAAAGTGTGGAGCCGCCAGCGATCGAGATATGGTCTACGGAGGAGGATTCGACATGGTGGAGACGGTGAGTTTTGATGATTTCGATTCTCATTATTTTTCCATATTATGTGATTTTTATTATATAAATTTTCTACTGTAAGCCATTTTTCTTGAACGCGTGTGCGATTTTATGTGAAAACCTGTTTAAGAATAAACACATGTTTGCGTCACATACACAGGTTGAACGAGTACATACCTTAAAAATTATTATTTTCAATTCTGTGATCGGAAAATCTTGATTTATATTATGATTAAATAGATCTTAATATAATTATTTTTACAAGCAGTTAATTTTTTAAATAAAATCATCGATTATTTTTTCCAACATTAGACGGTTTTGAAGTTTTTTTTTGGTTTATCATTCAATTTGTTTGCACAAGTTTATACACTATCAAATTTCCGGAACAATAATGATTCACATCATTCACCGCATTCATCATTAAAAATCACATGAAGAAGAATGTGACTCAATATTATTACATCGGAAATCTTGCATCCTCTTCACAATGCTGCAAGAAAAATAAATTCAAAAACAGAGCATAAAAGCGATTCGTTCGCACAGCTATAAACGTGTGCATTTTGTTTTATTGCTAAATCTCAGATCGATTTCTTGCAAAATATAATATTAAGATATTCGTGTTTTCATATAAATAAATGTGTAAAAATATCACAGGCATAAATAAAGGAGTCGTGATAAGGTCCGATTCTCCCGAGGAACAGCACGCGTCAAAATAGTTACGGCCCTATCGAGGAAAGACACGAGCCGGCGAGTCGGTCGGCTAACTTTCGAATTTACCACTACTATAGGCAGTGTCGATAGTTGGATACGAGAACCGAGAAATTCACTCGGTTAGTACGTGATGGAAAATTTCGCGGTAAAAACAGAAGCGAAACCCGTTGTCGGTCCGCGGTTTTCTTGGCGGCGCAACTTTTACCGAGCACCGTTTGTCGTCTTCCGCAAAACGCTTGGACAAGACATCCGTATTATTGTGTGCGAATCGAGCGTTGTTCACCTATTTTACAAAATCTTCAGCGGCTAAACAGTCGTTCCCTTTTATGTCTCTTCGATTTATTCAGATGAAGCGATCATTTGGAATAAATCACTTGAAATCTGAAAATTTGAAATATAAAATTAAACATGAATATTTTCTAAAATTTTTTATATCCCTAAAAATTTATTCATCCAGTTTATTCGTAAATATTTCCATCATTATGTAAGAGACAGTATATTAAATTTTATTTATGTAATCTCTTGTGTAGGATTATATTTTTTTAAAGAGGATGATTCAATATTAATAGAATAATATATTATTGTTAATTTTTTTTCTAAATTTTTTATGTATCAGTATTCTCTATATTCAGTTTATTTTTAGATAAATTTATCTTTATGTGAAAGATAGCATATAAAAAATTTTATGTAATCTTATCCAGAATAATATTTTTTTTCGAAAATATTGGTTAATGTTATTTAATATTAGCATAATATATTATCATAAATGTTTTTTAATAATAATAAAAACCAATTCGTCAAATATTGTTTAATTATGGATATGTTATTTAATAAATTAATTGACAATCAAAATTTTTAGATACCAAAAATAAAAGAAAATTTAAAGATATAATTAACATAGAGATCTTTCTCGACATTTTTTTGTATGCGTTAGGTTTGTATGAAATGTACATATATATTTGATGGCATAAATTTATTAATATTATGCATTATATAAATGATTTTTAGCTTGTTATATTTTTTATTGTTATTTTTTAATTTAAAAAGTAATTTAAAATAATCCATTCATCATTTCATAAATTGAAAACAAATTATATTAAAGACAGAGAAGTTTTACGAGAGAGATCTTCACGAAGAAGTGTATCCGAGTTCATCTTTCACGCTATGCGCGAAAAATAAAAAATAATTAACATACGAATTAAACAACATTTTTAATGACTTTCTGTTGAACTTTGCTTTTTGAATAATAGATAATTATGTTTCATTGATAAGCGTCCATCATCGCGTGCCTTTCGCAAAAATATTCATGCATGAAATTCTTTCTCTGATATTAAAATAAATAGCAGCTGCATATTTTTACAATATTTATGAGATATGACATTTATGAGATAGAAATATACGGTTCTTTATAACCGATATTTTTGTGATTTTGATCTTGATTTTATCTCGGCGATATAATTGTACATAACTGTTGTGTTGATTGCATAACATTTTATTCTATTTTATGTATATTATTTTCACGTATATTATCACTTGGTTCTTGAATTTTCCTTAAGAAATTGTTCATCCTGTTCATAGAATCAGCACGGAAGATAATTTAAATCTATTAAATTTAAATCTAAATCTAATCTTTACCTAGTGAAAAGAAACAAAAAAGTTCGATTTTTTTCATTCCGATCACGTCTCTCTCTTTCTCTCTCTCTTTCTTTCTCTCTCTATCTTTCTCTTTCTCGTTTACAGCCTTTGTCCAGAATTTTTGGTTGCCGATGTGCGTGTAGAAAAGCGCGTACCCATATCATACGAAATTTATTGTCGGCGATAGAGCCGGGTATGTCGCGTCGTCGTATCAAGTTCCGCGGTCGCGTAAACAGGGTGTAATTAAAAAATTGTCAGTAGCTGGTCTTTGTGCCGGCATTGTATATAGCAGGCGTCCTTGCCGAGCCAATTCGAAATCCTGTCTCGCGCGGGTTCGCATTAGCGAGGGCGTGGTTGGTCGTTCGTTCCTGGTCCGAGGAGAGCCAGCCTCGGATAGTAATTGCACCAGACTCGTTTCCATTGCGCGATTTTTATGGTTTCGACTTCTTTCCACGCTCCTTCTTCTCTTTCTTTTTTTCCCTCCGCTTTTTTTCCTTCTCGACGTCGCAAGACTCGCTGATAAACACATATCTCTATGGACATACATATATATTGCCTCGGAAAGATCTCTGCTCTGATTTTTAATACCGCATAATCGAGATCTTTTATGTAGATTTATCCGAGATCGAATATGTAATTCGAGTTTGGGTTTCGATGTTATAGATAAAGGTAAAGAAATAATGTTTTGCGGAATAAGATAAACCCCTAATGAAATTGAAGAAATTACATCGCGAAATTCGATAAATATAATTCTTACTATCTACAAAGACTTATTAATTACAAAGGCTTTCCTCGTATCATGTATATTGTTACGCTTGAGAAAACTTACGGATAATATATGCAAAGTCATTTGCATATCTATCTGTTTTTCGATTTATTAATAAAACATAATAAATTATGTAAGCGACAATTAAGCTTTTTCTTTTATAGATTTTTTTTCATATTATCGATATTTATTAACATTAAAAATGTCAGTTTTATTGTACATTACTCGGAAAAGGTAAAACGCATGTTCGATGCGAGGAACATTTTCGCGAGGTGAATTAAATCGATACATTCGAGGCAATCTTGTTGGTTTTCTTGGAACTACGACATCGCATCTCGCCCTCTGTTAGTGTGCCCTTTCACCTTTCTCTTCTTGTCTTCTCTCGTTTGTGGCCCCGACTTTGCGAACGGCCTAAGAATCCACATTATTTTCAATAAAAAAATCGTTTAAATCCCGATATATAATTTCATATTTCTGCATTCTTGCAGCTGCTTCAATCATTATTTGCATTTTTATTTTTCTCGATAATCTGAAATTATATTTACAAAGTCAAAGATTTAAAGTCAAAGATTTTTAAATATTTTTTACTGTTAAATATTTCAATATTATCTGTCGACTTATCTTTTTTCGAAGAATTACAGTAAAGTTTATCGAAAATAAGGGGAGACGGTTAGTAATATAAATGCAAAACATGCAGAAAATATGTATAAATAGCAAGAAATATCTATAGCGGCGATATTCAACTTTGAAAAGTGCATGTCTTAAAATCATTGCGCAATATTCGGCAACACATTACGGAGATACATTTCAGAATTTAAAAATGATTCAGAGGCAGTTGTGCCAGTCATGGCCTCTGAAATCAACGAGGAAAAGGCGATAATGCATATGTAAAACAGGAGAGATTGGTTAAGAAAGAAAGGATAAATTTACCGCACTAATTAATTAAAACCACTAATAATTTAAACTTTTTATAGAGCCCAATCGTTAACCGGTCGAAAACAAAGATTTACAGGATAATTTCAATTCAAATAGTTGATTCGCAATACGTTTTTAGAGTACCATAAATTATTAAGCCTTCGATTACCTTTGCACTTTGGGGTTTGAAATGGCTCGAGACGTAGCGAATGCGAACTTTATTATACTCAATCTATAAGTATCGCGCGAAAACAATGTAAAACGTTATTATTCGAGATAATGTGACGCGCTAATGCAGGCCTGTCTACGAAAAGCTACCATTTTCCCGTCGCTCCGGGATGAAATCTCGATGCATTTCTTACGCGTCGGAGGGTTCGCATGTAATAGCTTATGTTAGTCAACGCGACACCGTTGCGGTTCCATTCTCCCGTACTTAAGGGACATGAAAGGTCGTCGCTTGCCAACGCGAGCGAGATACGACGAGGTGGCGCAATCCTCAGCCGTGTCGAACGAGACGGCCCTCGCAAGAGCGACGTCGGGTTTGCGTGTCGGCGCTTACGATCTACGATCTAAGGATCGATCCGGAGCACGAAATCGAGGACATTAATCAGCGTTCGGCGGCGTTCTGCGCACGTGGGTGGCCGTTACTGACGTAAATCGGCTCTTTCTCCCGGGTTGCGTTTGCCTACGTTGCGCGAGGTAAATCGAGCGAGGTCGAAGCTCCTCGAAGCGAGGCATGGCAGGGCAGGGCAGGGCAAGGCGAGAGCGCTGGATTTTCGAAAGGCGGCTTTCGCGAAAGGTCGATCGTCCCCTTCGATATCTCCTCTCGCAGTTCCCATCGAGGAAAGCGAACTCGTGTTGTTGCTCGTGTTGTTGTACGAGAAGTAAAAAAAAAAGAAGAGAAGAAAAGAAAGCGTCTCTGGGAAATGTGAGTTCCCATGATTTATCGCACGCAAATTCATTCGTCACTGTCGTGCAA